CCTGTGTAATTTGTGACTGCTGTCAGCAGATGGAGCCCTTTGACCAGTATTATATTTAAAGTGAAGTTATGTTACATTCAATACAGACAAAAGAGGAACTGTGAAGGAAACATTAGGATAAGTTAGTTAGTTTATTTCATACATCCTCTTTCAGCTCCTGTGATGTTTGTCCGTGTGAATTATCATAGCTTCGGACTCATCAGAGATGAACACTAGAGTACTCTATGTGTTGGGTGGACTGTGTTTAGCAGCGGCTCTCGGTTTCTCAGCGGTGGTATTGATGTCGAGCTCTTATCCCGGGGTTATTGGCAGTCAGCGGCGGGTCAGTTTCCCAGCGCAGACCTCCTCGAAGGGCACCATCTGAGGACTAATCCACAGGAAATACGGGCAGCTCTCTCCTCGCAGGAAAATCTCCCTAAATTCAAAGCATCTGTAGGCACGGGTTGGAAAAGGGCCGCTTTCCCAGAGCTCCGGCAGATGATTTTTTATTCTTTGCATGTAGAAAGTAAGCCCGGCGGGGCAGAGGACTACATGAAATTAAAACAAACATCAGCGGGATCAGGGAGGGTAAATAGCCAGTCATCAAAGATCATGCCAGTGTACATGAAAGGAGTGTAATATAACGCTGGGTTGAACAAGCATGTGGGAAACACTCCTATGGAGGAACTAGTGCTTTACAGTTAAAGTGTAATAATCATTCTCTGTAAAATTGTAAACCTCCTTTTGGTGAAACTACGGTGATTTACTCAATATGTACATTTTTTGCATTTTGAGCACATGCTTAAAACATCCCATACGTTTCGTAGCATACCCTTGTTTAGTTATCGGACTAGTTCATTACAGGCAACCATAGAATAGAGAGTATGCTTGTCCTGAAGGAATGATAGGAAAACATGATGGTGGCCGTATTAACATGCAACCTCATTATCTTGATTCTGGGGTTGAATAATAATACATGAGGATTCCTGTAAGGCATTTGCTGCATTCAGGAGACAGTCATCATCTCACACCTCTGTCACATGGTCTGGACTGAGAGTAGCTCTCGGTTTCTCAGCGGTGGTATTGATGTCGAGCTCTTATCCCGGGGTTATTGGCAGTCAGCGGCGTGTCAGTTTCCCAGCGCAGACCTCCAGCATCTGAGGACTAATCCACAGGAAATACGGGCAGCTCTCTCCTCGTCTCCTCGCAGGAAAATCTCCCTAAATTCAAAGCATCTGTAGGCACTGGTTGGAAAAGGGCCGCTTTCCCAGAGCTCCGGCAGATGATTTTTTTATTCTTTGCATGTAGAAAGTAAGCCCGGCGGGGCAGAGGACTACATGAAATTAAAACAAACATCAGCGGGATCAGAGAGGGTAAATAGCCAGTCATCAAAGATCATGCCAGTGTACATGAAAGGAGTGTAATATATCCGTCATTTTGAGTGGATGCTCAGTCTCAGAGGTGAATCTGTTTGTTGATCGTGAAGAATGTCAACGCAATATAGGCTAGGTCTACTCACAGCCGCTCAAATGTGACTTAGTGAGAGAGCAAACGCAAACAGGGAAAATCCTCATGTGGTACGAATTCACTTCTTTAAACTTTATTTACTTATATAGGGCACTTGTAGTGTTAAAGCTCAAATCTGAGGCTGTGCTCATGAAAGCC